CAGACCACAGCCCTCTTCCCTGCTCTGTCCTCCCATCTAATTCCGGCTGATCCCAAATCCACGGCTGATGAGGAAAAAGGCCCCCAGGGCTCTTGCTTGGAGTTCCCATAGGAACGAAAGGCACTGCAACTGCAGGTGCTAAGTGCAAAAACGAGGATGGGAGGAAACTCTTCCTGCCCTCCCTGAGGCGCTCCATATGGAGAGATGCAGAGGGATGTTCAGGAAAGCAAAGCAGGGCTCCTGTGGGGACAGGGGTCTTGCTGCGTGCCGTGTTTGCATGTGCCCGAGGCTCAGGGGAATAAGGGAATAAATCTGGGAAGGGAAATAAAACTCTTGAACCTCCCCACTGGGACACCAGGAGAGCAGGTTGGAGAGCTTTTGTGTGAGTCGTTTTCAGTCAGCAAAAAATAAACCCGACAACTGCATTTACCCAAATCTCCCCAGAGAAGACAAAGCATTTGCTAATGAAATTGCCTTAATGCTGACAATTCCCCATAGGAGCGAGAGTCAAACTTCCCGTGGAAATGCACCCATTTCTCCCTGTTTTTCAGCAGCTCAGGAGCACAAACCCCACCGGGATGGGTAAACTCGCACGCCGGGCGGGAAGCGCCTCTCCTGGCCCTGTGCCCGGAGACCCGTGGATCAGGGCCGGGGGATGTACAGGGATGCAAACCCGGCAGCCCCGCACCAGGCGCTTTCACCAGGCCCCCAGTGGGTGCGTGGGGCTGTGGAGGCAGCGAGCGCGCAGCCGGCAGTGCTCTTTATTAATAGCTCTCTAAAAAAAAAACCCACCTCCCTTCCCTGGCTTTGCTTTCCCTCTGCGACAGAGATGCTGGTGCCTCGCTCTTGTTGAACGCACAACGAGGTTTCAGGACTGAGGGAGATCAAGATTTTTTTTTTTTTGAGGATATTTAGGAGCTCAAGACCCGCTTTCTTGCTGGATTGAACCATGTCAACGGATAATGGGCCAGTTGTGTCCCCACACGGAAAGCAGGGGCAATGTTGGGTGTATTTGGCACATGGGTTTGAGGCACGGCAGCGCTCCTGCTACCCACAGGGAGCGTGGGATGGAGAAGGCTTGCTGTGAAGTTGGATTGATAAGCAAAGCCACCGCAGTGCGCTCCTCTCCCTGCAACCCTGAGGACTTCTTGTCTGGATCTGACTTCTGTACGAAGTCTTCCAAGCAAGGCTCCCCAGATGAGGACCTCTCTTGGGCTGCAGCCTCTTACCCTCTGCTGGGAACTTGGTACTGTTCTTGGACATGGCAGCCAGGCCATGGAGCAGCTTCCCGCAGGCCTCCGCTCCATGCCTAAGCCGTAGCACCTGCAAAGGGACAGGGAGAGCCATCATGATCCTGACTCTGGCCCATCATGATCCTCCTCATCTGGAGGAGCCACCTCTTCTTCTCATCCCTCCACACAGCAGCCCAGGAAAAAAAAAGCTCAGCTCCTGTGGCAACCACCAGCCTCTCCTGCTTCAAAAGACCTCTAAACTCTTCCCCAAAGAGCAGCTTTGGGGCAAGGACTTCTTAGCAGGACCTTCAAGCCCCAGCTCCTCTGCAAACACCGCTGGGTTGCTCCTCTGCTAGTTCAGCTCTTTCCCCTGCAGAGGTCTGTGTTCAGCAGCATTTAAGATCAGGTCACAATTAAAAAGAAGCATTTGCCCAAGGGAAGAAGAAGCAGCCTGTCAGGATTGCTCCCTTGTCGCCTGGCTCTGTGACTCAGGAGCTGCTTTTGGCTGCAAAGTTGGAGCCGACAGGGAAGGTGGGAAAGGAGCATGAGGGATAGAACACCAGCTGGGACAGTGCCTGGGCAGGACAGGCAGGAAAACCCCTTTGGGTTGCAAACCACAGCTCCACGAGAAGCTTTTCTCGTGGAGGTTTTTTAATCCCCAGATGGCTGCAAATCTTCAGTTAGCCTCCTACCTTCTTAAATCGGGCTCTGAGCTTCTTTGAGGCATGGCCCGGGCGCATGACGCGGTGATGCACGGTGTCAGACTCACCAAGACCACGTTATCCATGTGTTTAGCCCACCAGGAAACCTCTTGGAAAGGTCCAGCCCGAAGATAGGCTGCCCCATATTGCTGAGAGCTCCCTGAGGAGCCCCAAAGCCAGAGGGATTAAAGATGAACCAGGTTTCCTTATGATTTTTCATTACAGTTAAGGCTCTCTTAGGTTCCTCATGTTTCATGCTCTTAGGAGAGACCAGAGCTGCCAGTCCTGAAGCTGGGGCAACCAGGCGAAGAGCTTGATGTTGCACTGCCCAAGAGAAGCCCATGAAGCCCCTTGCCTTGGAGGGCTCAAAAAGTGGCCGAGCTCCCAGGACCATTCCCAAACCCTTGGGAGCTTTCTCAGGGCTGGCACCAACCCTGGGACATCCCAAACAGGGACGTCTGTGGTGGACCTGCTGGGCATGGCCCCTGGGGACGGGTTGCTGGAGCACCAGTTTCAAGGGCAAGATGTTGGTGGTGCCCAGGTGACTGCCAGGTTCTCCTGCAAAAGGAGCGGTGGGATCACCCACCTCCGGAGCACCAGCTCCTTCAGCCTCCTCCTCACCTACCTCGCGGTCAGCCCGGCTGGCAGGGAAGAGGATCTTGAAGGTGGTGCCAAATATGTTGATGCTGAGGAGATACACTGGCCTCAGGCTCTTGAGGAGCAGCAGCAGCAGGACAGCCTGCGCGGGCAGAAAGGAAGCACAAGTCAGAACGCTGGGTGACGGACCCCGCTCCGACGGCCTTGGTGGCGAGAGACCCATGCTCAGGATTGGCTGGCCCTGAAAAAAGCTCATTTTGGGGGCCAACAAGCTCTTGCAGGGCTACCTGCTGCAAAGCCACCGAGCAGTGTGCTGGGGGCGGCAAAGAGGAGCTCTCCCACTGCCCCAAATTGCTCCTGGGGGAGCTCAGACCTGGCCAAATGCCAGGACAACAGGCCCTTCTGGGGCTCTTAGCACACCTCACTGTGCTCCACCAGCATCTGTGCCCGAAATGCACGTAATTCCCCCCGTCCCCTACTGCCAAGCGGTCATCCACACGGAGCAGCCTCTGCAGCTCACCCATGCTCATCCCGCGGATGCTCCCACAGCCTCCACACTTCATGCCGGCCGCGCTTGTGCATCAACGTCCTCCTCCCAGAGGTCCTGCTGGGCCGTCCGCAGGTGAGGACAGAGGTGGATCACAACAGCAGAGTGGTGGGGGAGATCCTCGTGCAGGCATCTCCAGATCACCTCTATCTGCAAGTCAAGGTGAGAGCGGGAGCTGGAGGAGGGGGAGCGGAAGCAGTTGCTTTTGCTGCCTCTTTCAGCCCCGGGTTTTGATTTTGGGGGGAAATTACAGCAGCGAGGACACAGGAGAGGCTGCAGAGCGGAAGGAGAAGATCCAGCCCTGGCCAAGCACCCGGCAAAATTGATTTGCCCAACATTTCCTTGGCTCCCTCCTGAAAATGTGGTTCATTAGTGCAGCGCAGCACTGCCCCGCGGCACAGACAGGCCTGCCGAAGGTTTTGTCTGTGCTCGCTTGGTAATGAGCGCACGATGCAGCGCTCAGCACGTTGCATGTGCTGGCTCGAGCCATTCCCATTGGAGCTGGTTTGCTGGCTTTATTTTTTCTGCTTTCTTTTATCATTTTTCCAGATGTATTTTCAATAGGAACATGCACCACGCAGGTTCCTTTTCCGCACACATCTCAGCTCCGAGGGCTTTCTGCGTTTTTGTCTGATGTTATTTCACGTGGCCATCTTCGTTGTGAAAAGCCACAAAACCAAACTGGGGTGGGGGGCACCCTCCCACGGTGCTTTGATACCCTCCTTTGCTGCACATATAAAGCAGCCCAGGCTGCTCAGCCTCACACGGGCATCGCGTTGCTGCTGCCGAGGGAGCCGGGAGCCCCCCCGCCATGGGAACCCACGCGCGCTGCGCGCCGAGCGGCGCAGACCTCGGAGGCGTCGCTTGCCCTTCGCAAGGCTGATTGCAGGAGAAACAAGGCAGACCCCGAAGAGCCGGGCTTGTTTTCTCAAGCCAGTGAGTCATATTCCTTGATGTTGCTATGAGCCAGCTTCCACGTTTGGCTTTACATAACGCTGCACTCTCTCTGCTGAGACTCTCTGCGCATCAGCACGGGCTCCACTTGCAGCTTTGCCACCTGAGTGTCTCTGTGCCGACCACTGTAAAAAGACTGAATCAGTCCCTGGGAATTAGAAGGGCTTTTTTTCCCCCCATCTCCTGCTTTGCCTGCCGGTGCTTTAAGGTCTTTTCCTATCAGGTTTCTGACAAGCTGCATCTTTCTGCCCAAGAGCTGAACCAAGGTGCCCGGTGAAACTGCAGTGCTGCCCAGGCTGCCCTTGGGCACCAGAGGCCTCCAGCGCTCCGGGGATTGCCAAGAAACCTGCAGCCTGGAGCTGCTGTAACCCAGCCAGAGGGGAGAGTAGCCTTTCACTCTGGTTCTCCTCCCTGGGTTCCCTGCATTTCCCCTTCCATCCTGATCTAAAAATGAATATTTTGTCATCCAGAAGTTGACTGCAGCATCTCTACAACCTGCTGGCTGATGAGCAGCCAAGGCTTCTGCATGACAAACCCGGATGGAGATTAATTAGCAATTACTGCTCAAATTGCTGGGTTAATTCATCAAAAGGAGCCCAGCAGCAGCCCTTCCTGCTCATTTTTAAGGTGGGGAGAGCCCTGGGTATCCCCCCACTGCAGAGCTTCCTCTGCTCCGTGCCTTCCTCTGTACGACGTCTTCCTGGGCCTCCTTGGTGGTTTTCCTGCCAGGATCGGCTCTGGGATGAGCCCCGGTGGATCATTTGATGCGCTAAAGACAGCGAAATAATTAGCGAGCCATGTGAGTGGAGCGTGGGCGCTGCCTCTCGTTCCACCTGCCGCACGCAATTAGCGGAGACGCCTGCCGGGCCAGCAGAGACGGAAAGGAGAGAAAGCGGGGGAAGAACGGGAAAAGAAGGAAAGGGGGGTCGCTTGGCCTCTGGCGAGGTGGGAGGCAGTGGCGGCGCGAGCTCTGTGGCAGGCTCGGGAAGCCGGGCACATAGAGCTGGGGTCCCCAGCAAGCCCTGGGCGCCCTTCGGGTTGTGCTCCGAATTCGGCAGCCAGCCCCAGGGGCACAGAGGACAGGTTTTAGGGGAGCTGAGCACCCTTGGGTGCAAATGAGAACCATCAGGCCTGTAAAATAGGGAGTGAAGGCTGCGGTGGCGCCTGCGCTGCTGTGATGGGCGCTTGAGGCTCCCCGAGCTCCTGCCGGCGCTGACCCATCCCCTCCTCCTCGCCGCTCTCTTTGCGGCGGTAACTTAGAAGAGGCTCATTCATCGCCCTCGAACCGCTGACAGACGAAGCACAAACCCCATGGCAGCTTATTTTCTGCTTTGCCCATCAAGAGATGAAAGACCATAGTTTCTATTACCTTCGGAGGAGCTCAGTGCTCTGAGCAAAACCGCTCACGTCTTCCTGAAAGCCAGCCAGAAATGGTAAACATTTACGCAGCAACCGGAGGAATATTTTACCCCGAGTCATGGTAGTAATTATAATACCCTTAATGCTATAATGAGGCACCTATCTAATTACACTGTGCTAGATGAGTGCTAATTATACACATAGTAACGATCTCCGAGCTCCTTCCACGCTCTGCTTATGGGGAGCGTTGCAGAATTTTCCTTTCCTTCTCTGTGGACACATGTTGCAGAGTTTGCTCTGAGCAAACCCGCGGGCAGTTGCTCACGCTGTGCCAGCCTCAAGGAAATCTTCTCCTTGTGCCCCAGGGCTTTTTGGTTCTCACCTTTTTCCTCCACATCGGAGCCCCTCCTAGTGCCTTTAATGAAGTTGTTCTTCCCCTTCAGGTGTTGTTCACAGTCTGCAGATGCCTTGTCACCATCTTCCACTAAAATATGAGGCATAACAGACCCTGGAAATGAAGAGGATGGAGGGAAGAAGAACCTGGGTTAAATTTGAGGTTGGCAAGAGATACAGGTACCCAGGAAGGCAAAGTCAGAGTGGTAACATTCAGCTTGGGGACAGTGGGGACAAACTGGAGAGGGTTCGTTTTTTCCCACATGGACCATATTTGGAGATCTCCAACCCAGAGCTAATCCCACCTGGAGGGGTTGGTGGTCTTGTTCGACCAGGTTAGCCACCAAAACGGTCCTCTCCAAGTCCAGCACGATCCTTCCTGCACGGAGAGACAGTCACACCGGGAGGATGTCCTGCACCATGGCCACCACGAGCGCTCCTCACCAGCTCTCTGATGACCTCCCTATCCCTGGACCAAGCAACGGAGCTTTCCAAAACGGGAAAGACTGTCAGAAGGACAAGAACCCAGAGCTGCCAAGACTCAGCATTTCAATACAAGCCTCTTACCGCTCCCACTGTGAGCTCTTCCACTGGGAAGGTGACACTTGTCCATTATGACTTTGCCCTTGATCTGCACCATCATGGCACACTGGCAACAGCCACTTCAAAGCCAATGACCACGGTGCACTTCTCCAAGGGATAGACGAAGAGATCTGCCACCGAGAAGGGTTTTAGTGACACTGAGTGCTCGAGATGGCCCAGCTCCCCCTTCCTCCCTACAATCCTATCTCCTTATGACCCCTGAGGATGTAACCAAGGAACCACCACTTCCCAGGTCCCTAAACGTTGATGGAAACATCAAGAGCAAATGTTGAGATGCTGATCTAGGACCCATTTCACCAGTTCCATCTCTTGCCAGGACGTCATGAGGCTGGCAGCTCAGGAGCAGAGTGAAGCTCTTGCAAGCGTCCAAGCACCCTAGAGGATGCAACCCAAAGGTTGCAGTCCACAAGGATCCACCTCCAAAGGGTCTCCTCCAGGTTGACTTCTTTGGCCTCCCCTCTTCTTGAGATGTTTCTCCAGAACCAGAAGAGAACTAAGAGAGTTTTCCTTTACTCTTGGGACCAAAAGACCCTGCAGGGAGAGACGGGCGTCCCCCTGCCCACCCTGGTGTGACGGCAGGACGTGGCCAGCATTGGCTTTCCTCTCCTGCTGCTCCTGTGTCCCCACTCCTCCAGATGGGCTCCACAAGATGACTCACGCCTCCGCTCAGGAAAATTCATCTGCAAAGCAGCTGCTCCTGCCAGTGATGTTTCAACCCTTCCCTGGAGCATGTTTTACTCTCCTCCAGCTCATCATCACCCTCCCTAGACCAGGGCTTCAAAGGAGACCTTTTGGGGCCGGCTCACCAGAGGAATCTGGAGAAGTTACCGGGCAGCAGCTCTTCCCTTCTGGCTCCATGGGGCTTTAGGCAACAATTTCTGAGGCCCAGGAGGAGCCTGCAGCAGCACAAAGCAGCCATGTCCCCTCTGGATGTCCTAATGCTGCAAGGGGGAAAGCGCCAGACACCTTTCTTGCAGGTGCCTTCAAAAAACTCGGCTCTTGTTCAGGTGCAGAAAAGACAAGAGTCAGGCTAATGCTCTTCTCACATGTATTTTCTCGCATTAAATAGCAGCGCAAACCCAAATGACAACAACTCTGTCCCAAACACCCCCAGCTGCCCAGCAAGACCCCAAAGGCGCCACAGGGACTATCTTCCCGACGGGCCACAAAGCAGTGGCTCTCTCTGCTGTGACGCTCTGAAGTTTGAATGTGGGTTTTCACTGCATGCTGGAATGAAAATCAGACCTTTTCTCTTTCCACAAAACAGCAAGGGCTGCAGGTCCTCCAAATCATCCCTGCAGATCCAACCAGGGCCCAGGTGCTGGGACCAGACCCCAGGGTGACACTCAGGGCCCGGAGGGAGAACCTGCTTTCGTACAGCTGGACAAAACATGCCCGCAGCTTCACTTGCATCAAACAACACTGACATCCAGTGGCTTGCCCGGATGATTACAGTCGGCCTTCTCCGTGGAGACGAGGCAGAGCGCCTGTTGCACGGCCACGGAGTGATCCCAGCGCTGCCAAAAGCCGCTCCGCAGAGCAGAGCCCCACCTGGCTGCAGGAGCGAGAGGATAAGTGGCCCCGTGGCGCTGGCCTGGCTTCAGGCCACCTTGGCTGTGCTGTGAGGCTGTCACTCTGTCCCCGGGCCAGGTGGGGGACACCCCACGGTCCACCCTTCCCGTGGCATTAGGTGGCAGGATGCTGCCAATGCCGTCACCAACCAGATTTTGCGGCAGGCTGCCTCTTCCCTCCTATGGCCTCCTCTGCTCCTGGATTTTCTGAGCCGACGGAGCCAGAGGGAGCTGAAGATGCCCCAGGGAGGTGCCTATGGCCAAGGAGACCTCCAGGAGCAGGATAGCCCCAGTCCGTCCACATTCCTGTCACTGCAAAAGGAGCTGCCCTGGCCCGGCCCCAGGTGCACAAGCCTTGGCATTTAACCGTTTTTGGGAAGGGCAATTTACACCCTGAAACTGGAAAATTTATCCTTATTAGATGAACAAGCAAAACCTGAGAAAATCCCACCTCTTGCACTTCCAGTGCTCATTAAAACATTGGCTCGCTCTGGGTTTTGGCTCAGAGGAGGAAAATAACATATGGCAAGAAAAAAAGAAAATCCTGGGATTGGTACAAGCGTGTCTGGTAGCCGACACAGATGTATTCATACAACAGAGTGGAATCTGACCTGGAGACTGAGGCAGATGGAAAACTTTGGAAGCAGAGGAGCAAGCGCCGTTTGCCAGGCCCCGTAGCACAGCCCCTGCCCCACAGCCAACCCACGTCCAACTGCAGAGCCTGGCCCCATAGCCAGGTCCAATCCCACAGCCTGGCCCCTGACCCCCAGCCAGACCCCACGACCAGGCCTCAGCCCCACGGCTGGGTCCCAGCTCCACAGCCTGGCTCGTGCCCCACAGAGAGGTCAAATCCAGCCCCTGTAGCCCAGGCCTAAAGCCTGGCCATATCGGGCCCCACAGCCCGCCCCTGCCTCACAGCTAGGCCCCGGCCCCACAGGCCAGCCCCGGTCCCATAGCCTGGCCCCTGCCTTCCAGCCAGGCCACGTGCAGCCCCACAACCAGGTCCCTGCCCCATAGCCTGTCCCCTGCCCCACAGGCAGGCCAGGTCCAGTCTCACAGCCCAGCCTCCGCCCCACAGAGCAGCCTCATTGCCTGGCCTCGGCCCCATAGCCAGCACCCAACCCAAGCCCCACAGCTGGACTCGACCACAGCCCCACAAGCAGCTCAGCCCCACACTGCAGCCCGGCCCGGCCCCGCGGGCCACGCCC